ACCAAAGTATAAGATAAATGTACTTTGTAATGGAAATAAATACTAACAGGCAAAATCAGATGTAAATTCATGATTTTCATGTGAGTTTTATTTAGCAAAATGCTCTATTTTGTTTGCATATATTATCCATGGTAAATTGACATAACTTCCAGTAATGATACCCCACAAATAATTTGAAATGGAATAAAAAAGTAAAGAACCTTAATCATATATGCATCACAGCTTATGAATTGTATGGCTGGCTGTGCATCGCAGTAAAACATCCCTAAACCATTAACCCTGGAATTTGGCAGCCTTGTGGTACAGGGGCTTACATCACCTATTCTTGTATGATACAAGTTAAATTAATTAGGGCAGATATTGCCATGTTCCTAATGGGAAATCTCACCTATAGCATCAAAAAGTTAACACAAGATTAAACATTAGTTCAGCCTTGCCTAAGTTTGGGGAGCAATAGCAAGGCAGGTAATGCTCAGGTAATTCTTTTCTTGAATGAGAACACAGTTTTCTCTTCAACCAACATGAATATGGTGGGCATGAGGGCAGAAGGGAGGGACAGTAAAATAAAGAGAAAGAAAAAATAAGTCTCTCATGTTCAAAATATTAAGAACTGAAACATGACAAACATAGTGCACCTTACCTGTCTGATAAGTAGGTCATGGTTGGCAGAGAACAGTCTGTTAAGAGCCTCACATGCTACTCCAACCATGTCTTTTCTTGCCTGCATTGCTTGCTTTAGTGGACTGATGCACTCTGTATGCCCCATTGCTTGAATGCACACCTGCAGAATAATCCACAAACCAAATTTAAATCTACTCATAACTGCAGAAAATCTTGACTACTGAATTCATAAAATGTTGCTCTAGAATGCAGATGCATTACCCTGTTGGGTGTGTGTGTATCCTGTACCATGAATTTAAGAACTTCCTACTAGTCTGTATACACATAATGAACACAGAAATAAATGGTGGAGACAAGACTGCTTTCTTTACTTATATACACACTAAACAAGCATATCAATGGTAGCCATGTAATAACATAATTTTTTCTTTGTTAATTTCAAGAAACTTTGTGTTAGATTTACATATTCTAAACCCAATTCTGGAGTAGTGCTGGGGTGGGAGGTAGACTTTGATGTTTGAGGTGCTGAGAATGAGTATCAGTCTTCTGGCATAACTCATATCTGAACTTTAACTCTGTTTTTGTTTTTTACTAATATTTCTTTGTTGTCACTGTATGCAAAGAAAACAATAATTTTGCCTGTCATCTTGTATGGCTGTGAAACATGGTCTCTTACCTTGAAGGAAGAATGTAAATTACAGGTATTTGAAAACAAGGTGCTCAGGAAGTTATTTGGACCTAGGAGGGATGAAATAAGTGGGGAATTTAGAATATTGCATAATGAGGAGCTGTGTGAATTGTACGGGTCACCTAGCATAGTGAGGATAGTGCAATCTAGGAGGCTCCGATGGGCTGGACATGTTGCATGCATGGGGGTTTGGTCTCTCAAGTGATGATATTTTTCAACAAAAATTGAGCATGCACCTCTCACCCATTTTATCCATACATGTTCCTATATGAATATGCAAATAAATTAACAAATATATAAATAAATAAAATCTGTGGTTTTGAGTCCTACAAGATACGCACCTCACTTGTAGCCAGCTGGTGCAGCACCAACACTGTGGCCCGGATGACAGCTCCCTGTTGGTGGTGAGTCACCATCTTTTTACAAAGCTGTGGAATGTGCCCCAGGGATGGTACATGATCAGCCAGTGAGGGCTGTGCCTGCAGCAGGCACACTAAGGCACTGGTAACAGTCTCCAACAGTTCCACCTGCACACAAACAGGTGTGTGTTTTGAACAACTCTTAGATATTTTAGTATATTTACAGCTGTATATTGCAAATGTGTTTATAAGCTTAACCACATCTGTCTATATGTAACAACTCAAGAATTGCTGCATGGATTTTCATAGAATTTGATATTTGGTAATGTGTCACTTGAGGAAACCCTACTTTCTACATAATTAGTACAAATATTTCAAAAATGGCAGTAATGCAAACTTATGATGAGGGAGTGCAGGGATTTAAAATTTTATATGGTGATGGGTATTTAAAAAAACATACAACTGTTATAAATGCTATTTGTTTACAAAATAAAATAGCAACATGGTGACCACATGATATCTGTATTTTGTATTCCATTTCATAAAGAAAAATAATGAATCATGGCAGTTAGAATTGTGAAATTTGGTATATAAATGCATCAAAAGCATATCTACAAATGGCAAAAGAATAATATTTTGTATGTCAAAAATTAAAAATACAATAATGGTGCAAACTTTAGTGGGGTGCTACGGGCCGACGTGTAAGAGAAGAGTGTGAAGAGCGGAGCTCGGGGACCAGATAGACTCGATGGACAGTGCGAGAGAATGTGTGTGTTGTTGTAGAGAGAGACTCGAGTGTGTTATTGTAGAGAGATGACTGTATGTGCAGACCACTGTAAGTGATTTAATTTGACGTGAATAAATCAGGGTTGACAATCCAAGGTCGTATACCGACCCACGCTACAATATTTTTCAACAAAAATTGAGCATGCACCTCTCACCCATTTTATCCATACATGTTCCTATATGAATATGCAAATAAATTAACAAATATATAAATAAATAAAATCTGTGGTTTTGAGTCCTACAAGATACGCACCTCACTTGTAGCCAGCTGGTGCAGCACCAACACTGTGGCCCGGATGACAGCTCCCTGTTGGTGGTGAGTCACCATCTTTTTACAAAGCTGTGGAATGTGCCCCAGGGATGGTACATGATCAGCCAGTGAGGGCTGTGCCTGCAGCAGGCACACTAAGGCACTGGTAACAGTCTCCAACAGTTCCACCTGCACACAAACAGGTGTGTGTTTTGAACAACTCTTAGATATTTTAGTATATTTACAGCTGTATATTGCAAATGTGTTTATAAGCTTAACCACATCTGTCTATATGTAACAACTCAAGAATTGCTGCATGGATTTTCATAGAATTTGATATTTGGTAATGTGTCACTTGAGGAAACCCTACTTTCTACATAATTAGTACAAATATTTCAAAAATGGCAGTAATGCAAACTTATGATGAGGGAGTGCAGGGATTTAAAATTTTATATGGTGATGGGTATTTAAAAAAACATACAACTGTTATAAATGCTATTTGTTTACAAAATAAAATAGCAACATGGTGACCACATGATATCTGTATTTTGTATTCCATTTCATAAAGAAAAATAATGAATCATGGCAGTTAGAATTGTGAAATTTGGTATATAAATGCATCAAAAGCATATCTACAAATGGCAAAAGAATAATATTTTGTATGTCAAAAATTAAAAATACAATAATGGTGCAAACTTTAATGATATGTGTGGGAACTGTAATGTAAGGTGTCTATACTATTGGATATTATGAACAGAAATAATCATAAAATTCTCTGATTATCAAGCTATACCTGGTGACCACAATGCAGATGCAACTTACGTAATTTAGGCTCATTAGTTCTGCAAAACAACGTCTTTATATATACCAGTTAAGATTGAAGTTACTCAAGACTTTTTCCTCTAACTGGAACTTGTCATACAGCAGACTTGGAGTATGTTTCATGACAGAGTGATAATTAAGACCAAAGTACATATTTATGACATAATTTAGGACATTTCTAAATTAATGTTATCAATATTCTAATCTCACCTCACTTCATGTTTCAAATTTGTGTTGACAAAAAAGATAAGATGATTATGTGAAGAGAATAGAAAAAGGATAAAGCTTACTGCAGGGTACAAGTGCCTGGAAAGGCTGAGAAACCTCAGCTATAGATAAAGCATTGTATCTTAAATGTCCTTCCTGAAGTGTGAAACACATCACCACTGTTTTCAGTGCTGCATAGCACAGGCCAAACTTTCTGTTTCTATTCATTAAGGTTGTAGTTTGTTTTATGCTCACTAATATCATTGTGATTTTGTGATGTGTCACTTAATCAACAAAAATGCATTGGCCATTATAAAAATAATAAATTTTGAGATATGAATTTGTTATGTTGCCTTCTACTATGATGAAATTTAACATTAGTAATAATAATATAATTTATTAGTCCACAAAAATTTGTTATACTGAGATTTTACAGTCTGCATGTACTTTAATGTCAGAAATATGATTCTATTGTAAAGTACAGTGTTTTGGAAAAATGGTCAGGCTACAGCATCTAAATGTTAACAAGGGTCTAAGAGTTGTACTTCGACTTGCATTTAGTATCTCCTTGTTCATTAGCCCTAGGCAGGTGTCCATCAGCTCAGAAAGGAACTCCTTGGGTCGACGCACAACCCAGCCAGGATTGGCTAAAAACAGACGTAAATACACGCCACCCACAACAGGCTCTCCAGGACTAATTGGTGCTGCCACTGTGGCATCATCGGGTAGTCGCCAAACCACCTGAAGGTTTTGTTTCTGGGCCTCAAAATGTCTGTAACCAGAAGTCACCACTACATAAAACATTTCCAACAAGCAGACAAACCAACATACAGTTGCTTTTTGCTGTCTGACTCACAGCACACAATTTCTTTAAAACCAAAACATGAATAGTTTCAATTTAAACTCTTCACAAAAGTATTAATACCATCCTGGCCTGACACAGTTCAATTCACTTCACATCCTCACAATCAATTTCCCTGTGATCCATTTTTAACACTATTCTTCCATTTCATTTTTGTCTCCATATGGTGATTTTACAAAATGTTTTCCTTGCCCCTCCAAAATTAAAAAAAAAATAATCCACCCCTCCAAACGTGTTCAGTCCACTGTGACCTTAACTGTATGCCTCTACACAAAATGGAAATTTGTACAAGCTACATACTCATCTCGAAGTGCAGAGATGGTACTGCACACTCTTTGTCGAGCATCTGCATCCCAGATGAGCTCTGGATTCTCATGAGTCCCTTCAAACATGTGTACGCAGGTATGGGATGCCTCCCGCATCGCATCTACAAACAATGTGGGCAGGAAGTGACTGACTGTGAGGCGAACTTTGGGCCCCACTAACTTATCCGCCGCCATCCTAGCCAGCAGTTCTGCTGCCTTCTCCCTGACAGTGGGAATGTTCGAGTTGCAAAACAGGTCCAGCAGGTACAATGTAGCCCCTGTAGATGGCAATAAAGATTTTGGTGTAGAGTGGTGCCCTTGAGCCTGGGCCCCATTGCAAAACAGGGCCAAGGTAGGTATTTTCCAGCTCTGTAGTCAGCAGGTCCAGGTTTGAAACTGAGCATACAATGGCTATCCTGACAGGGTTTCATATTTCCTGAAGTCTCTGCAGGTAAATGCTGCAATAATACCTTAAAACAAGCAATGACAGAAAGCCAATGTGCCTCTGGGACACTAATGAAACGTGTTCAATGCATGCTCACCTTTGGCCAAAGCATCCTTGACAATCTTGGTGGTGTGCATGAGAGCATGCAGTGTGTCCAATGTTGTGATCTGTGCATCAGGAAGACTGTACAGAGTTAGCAACAGATGTACCACTACATCCGATGCTGCGATATCATTGACACACTCTCGGTTCTGCGTCACACTGGATATCACGTTCAGGGCACAGTGTTGTATTGGTTTGCAGCTGTCCACACTCAGGAGACCAAAAAGCAGGCGGAAGTGGCCAATACACTGGATCTCTACACCTGAAACAAATTCATAAATATGGAAGACTTCTGGTACTGTCCTGAAACACATTTAAATTACAATAAATTACTTAAACCAACCACACCCAAATATAAAAAAGTGCCTTCAACTACACTACTGAAACACATAAAATAGCAACTTTACTTCTGGTTTCATGTTTCTGTGAATATTGGACTCTCCATCTGAAAAGACTGAGGACAGCAAGGCATTAAACACAATCCTCAAACTGAAGAGATATAAAAATATGGAAATAAGAAAATTACTTTCACAATATGTGAATAAGACAGGTGAAAACAGAGCATACATAAATGAAACAAGTAATACAACAAAACTTGTGTTGCAAATCCTTTTCTGGAGGCACAAGCAGAGGATATAACTGTGACTGTGTGCGCCTCTTATGCACAGGTTATTACAATCATCATGGGAATGCTATTAAGGGATTTTTCAACTAATGGTTTGCATTAACTACTGCAAAAGTATTGCTTCCTACATACAGGTAACAACTGTCATGACCCACACTCCTCTTCAGTTTATAGTTCTTGGGGGTTATTACTGTCAAACATTGGAAGTTCATGCCCATTACTTTCTTTAGAAATAAAACTGGAAATCTACACACATTCAAAAGGCAACAATTCACAGTAAAAAAGTCACTGGTGGGGGAAGTTGCCTGTATAGAAGCTCAACCTTATTTATGGAAGGCAATGAGACAAAATGCACTATATTGAGTGAAACAGACAAAGTGTGCGCAATAATCAGAATTATTTCTACATGATTCTGAGAGAATGGCTAATATAATGTGTAGCTAAAGAGTCTGTTAGTAAAGAAAAGTTTAATTTACAGTAGAAACTGTAAAGGGTGAGAAGAAATGGAAGAACAAAAAGAGAACATGTTAAGAAGCAGAGACATACAGTGTTAAAGAGGTCAAAAGGAATCAAAGCACAAAGGCAGATAAGACTAGAGCAAAAAAGAGAACTAGAAAGAGAAAGAAAGATGAGAAGAAAGAGCAGAAGCAAACTAGACAAAAGAAAAGCAGACAAACAAAAAATGCAAGACCTGAAAGATAAAGCAGAATAAATAAATTAAGAGAGGCAAGGAAACTATCATAAGACGCAAAAGACAAAAGAGAAGCTATCATAAAATTATCATACTTAAAACTTCATGAAATTTTCATACTGGCTCTGTTTTTGTAACCATTATCTTGCTAGCTTGTACTGGTAAGTTCACAGATCAATGTTACTTTTAAATATACGGTCAGCTGCAAGCAGGTTCCACCATAGAGAACTTAGAGACAGGTAGCAAAGAGTGGACTACAATAATGTGATTCAGGAGAGGTTTGGGGTTTTATGCTGATGGTGATGAATTTTCAGGTTCCTTAACTGCAGGGAATTTCTTGTTCAGCTAAATAAGTATAAACTATTGAGAGCATATTTTGTGCAATGGAGTGAGTCACTTTGTTAGGTAGGTAGCCAGTTAGGAGAAGAGAAAGCAGACACACAATGGAGAGATTCTTCAGTACCTGGATTGTTTTTTACGACATTGCAGAGAGCTTCCAGTGCCATGACAACATGTATCATCCTCTCTTTGTCAGCTGCTGATAGTGACACGCTACTTGCTGCACTGAGGTGATCAGACTGGATGGCCAGAAACTCCAGCAGGTCGATGCTAAAGCCTTTGGGGTTCTGGGAAGTAACACAATTGTTACACTATGTGGGATTTGAAGTTCTCACAGCAGTAAAAACTTTGACTATGTTCTTGGATTTATATACAGATGATGGCAGTATGTTATTTCAGAATTTATTATTTACTTACAAGTCCACACAGCATCATAATCCAGAAGACCAACACTGACATCCTAACAATGTCACTCCCAGTTGTCTTAGAAGAAAGTTATTTAACTACCCTTCCTCTAGACATGGTACACTTTACAATTCTGATAGATTAACCTTTTAGCCTATTCTCTGTGGAAATTAAGTATACTCAGTTTCATCCAAGTAATTCTCCCATGCTGTGGTTGAGTATACTAAAACCAAGCTTCGCAGCCTTATTCTGTACTCTGTATTTTTCATAACTTCTAACAATCTGCCATCTTGAGAAAACAATTTTAAATATGTTGCTTCAAACATTTGTCACGATTTTCCTTGCATGACAATTTATCCAGAAAGATAATCTATTATTTCACATAACTCTTGATGAAATGTCATCTACAAAACTATAATGATTCACAGACTTACAGTAAAGAGTTCAGTTTAAATTAAACACAATGCAGAAAAAATAATTATATACACAGGAAAATGAAACCTTAGAGCGCTTACAAATATGATTCAAGTCAAATAAATTTGTTAACAACTGAATAAACATATGGAATCAGTTTTGCCTACATAAACACTGACCTCTATTGTGTAGGTGGGCTGCTGATTGAATATTCGCACAAAAATCTCGCCAACCACAAGCTCCTTCCTGTGGACAGTGTACACAAACTCAATTCCACAAGATGGGTCATTGCTGTCTGTGCCCACACTGCACTGCTGGTCCAGAAACTCGCACAGTTCAGCCCGCGTCCTATTGTCCCACAGCAGATATGGTGTCTCACAGTTGCTGTTCAATGTTTTCAGGATCTGCTCCAACAAGATTTGAAATGCAAAGCAAACTGTTTGTTGGTTCAAGCTATATTTACATCAGTGTTTGTATGTTATAAGCAATGGTAAGCAGTGAATGTTTCTTCACTGGTAGTAAAGCTATGCATAAGGTTATATTTAGGACGCTTTGGAATTAAGGTTAGAAATCCTAACAGGATTTTTGTGGTCTTCTGCAGTCCTACCAGAAGAGGGCAGAAATACTGCCTTAAAAAGGATAAACCCTCACCCCTGACAAGTCTTATCCAACCAGTCTGAAATATCATATTTCACCACATAATTCATACCTTTGTTTCAAAAATATTCTTATCAAAAGCTTGTATATGTGATTTACATAAGAATAACATATTTACACCATCAATTGTAAGATACGCCCTTCATTTAGTAATAGGTTTTCAGAAGAAGATATAGATTTTTAGATGCAATCAAATGTAAGATGCACCCCAATTTCAAAAAAGTCAAAATAAGTGTGTCCTACAATTGAGGAAATACAGTAGATGAAAATGACAAATCATGGAAAATATCACCGAACACTTGACCTACGTACAATATTTTCTTTCAAGAAGTGAACATACCTTCTGAAATCATGTCAATCATGTATCTGTATACAGCTCCTACCTGTCACTTCATACTGCTGCCAAGTCACACTGCTATGTGACATACAGGAATAAAAAATAATGCTTTTCACCTGCACATTCACTTCACATTTCTGTATCTATTGCTATCTCTTTCATACATTAAAAGCAAAACTTCTGTATCTTTCTTAGAATGGGATGCATAAAATGTGTCAGCTTGTTACTTTCTACCTTCATAAAAAAAAGGGTACATGAATTATGCAATGAAACACAGAATGTTAAATTCAACAACAGTTTCCATTGAGCCTGACTGACCTCCTCAGATTTGTCTAAACTTAAATGTCGAGCCAGATATGGTGTCAGCAGTCTATTGAGGATTTCCTGTGTGACAGAATTGTTAGGTGACTCCAACTGTCCTGTCAAGTAGCCTCCAAGCCTGGCACAAGCCCGCACTGCCAACTTTGCAAGTTTGTTTGCCACTTCCTGAAACCAACAGAACCTGATACATAGTCATACCTATGGCGCTGGTGCAAGTACCTTAAGTGAATTGGAAGATGGCTGTCTTCTGGGTTACTGTACAGTGTAGTATGACAGTTTACTGATGTTTCAGAGGTCCTTGCAGCCTCCATCATCAGGGCAATAAGTGACCCTCATCACCCAGATGTTGGAGGCAGCAAGGGCTTCCGAAACAATGGTAAACTTCTACCAGATGACACAGCACTTCTTCCACACTAATACTTAAAATAAATATCTTTGGGTTGTATATTTCAATGATAATTACAAACAAATACAAGTTGTCAAAAAGGATTTCTTGCTCTTATATACCTAATTTCCAAAGCAAGAAATTGTTTTGTGTTTGCAGGGTATCTCTTCTGTACCTGCTGGTTTGCATCCTCACTGCGCTCCACACCGCCCTCCTCGAGGGTAAAGTCGTAACTGAACATGAAGCGTAGGAGGTGCCACAGCGCTCCTGCTTGCAGCAGCTGCATCTGCAGAATTGAGTCCACAGCAAGTGAACTCACACACTCTGTGGCCACAGAGCACAGCCGTGTCAGGTGCTTGAAGTACAGGATGCGGCACACATCCTTCACCAATTGCGGCATCTCTGTCATCTTGTCCCTGCAACTCTGGAACTGGGCTGCTACCCCAAAGCAGCGTGTAATATGTGTGCACACCTGAACCCCAATGTCAGTAGTTTTGGAGGAAGCACTCAGCACAGACACACAGCGTGAACATGCATCCAGCAACACCTGCAATCAACCAAGTTGCTAACTAAATGATGAAGCAACTTATTGATTAACTATCAAAATTCCCAAGTAGCTAATTATCTGTATGCTCTTCCTTAAGTTAATGATATTGAACATATAAATAAATTTTCTGTTATAAAATCCAAAGATTAATTACTATCAATATGTATAGAACACAGTTAATTCAATCCTGTCCATTATAATACTATACTCTGCAGTGATCCCTTTCCTTCTGGTTTTACAATCAGAATTCTGAGCATTTCTTGTTTCTCCCACAAGTAAATGTTCCATTACTTTTATTATTCTTAATCACTCCAAGAATATCTGATGAAGAGCACAAATTATGACAATCATTAATTTTCACCCCTAACCAGCTACTTCATCTGTTCTCATCAGCACCATGTTCTCAGGCATTCTCCATTTCTATTCATCCCTCAAAGACCAAATTTCTGACCTACATAAAACATCAGGTAAAAATTAATTTGTTTTCACTATGAACAAAAAATCCCATTTTGGTATTCTTCACTCACTTAAAACCACAGCTTATCACCATAAGATGGAGTTAAATGGTTTTTAGCTTATTTAATGACATCTTCAGTGCCTGAAGATGGAGGTAATATTTTTCTCCAAAAAACTGGTATCTACCTGTGACTACACTGCATCACAATCCAGAACTACTTCACCAACTTCACCACCATGAGAACTTAAACTCTCACATTTAATAATAATATTTTAACTGCAGAGGTCATGAAGCACTGAGATTAATAGCAAGTACATAAGGACTGGAATAAGTGAACCTGCGAAGTGAGATGGAATTTGAATTTGTATTTCATTGCTACATGTGGTGAATAAGCTGACAGCATTTCACTCACAGTTTAAACTTTGTCGGCATGACAACAGAATTTAACAGAAAATACAATATACAGAGCATTGTGCAACTGTTATTCAGCTGATCAAGAAATGCAAGAGTGAAGAATTCCAGGGAGCAGTTCACTCTGTCACACTTCAGTGAATGAGACAAACAATGATCTTGCTGGTTTCAAACAAAAGACCTTTGGTAGAAATACAAACATCAGACTCCTAAACCACTCAATTTCACCTAGGCTCGGCTTGATTCTTGGTTTATTTAAAAATGTTCTGCCTACTGCATAGGATACATGACAAATGACCTGTAAGATTTGGCTAAATATTAAGCAAAGTGTTAACCATTACAGTACAGTAATCTGCAATTATGAGCAAATTTGTGCTGTCACTCACTTCAAGTCCTCTCTCCCGCCTAAGCTCCTCAGCATTCAGGGCAGAGCATTGCACTGTGTGGTATGCCAACTCACTAGCAGCGGCCAACAAAGGTGTCGACTTTGAAAACAACATATCATCTGTTGTCTCGAGCTGTATGGTCTTGATTAGCTGAGGGTAGCCAGCATACTTATATGGGTGCAGCTCTGAAACACAACCTCACTGTTAACCTGAAGCATTACAATTACTAAAACAAAGTCAAATATTATTTAGTTTAAATAAAGTTAATTTAATTAAATTCAGTGCTATTACCACCCTGTTGATGCTAGTCTTGTAAACTGTAACACCATGTGGATTTGTAGGTAGATACAAACATTTCTGAGGAAACTGGAAAGAAACTGATGATGGCTGTCTTCTGGGTTGTTGCACTGTGTAGTCTGGTAGAAGTTTACCAACGTTTCAGATGTCCTTGCTGCCTCCATCATCAGGGTGATGAGTCTCATCACCTTGATGATGGAGGAAAAAAGAACCTCTGAAACATCAGTAAACTTCTACCAGATTACTCAGTGCAACAGACCAGAAGACAGTCATCTTAATCTGTATTACTAAAAAATCAACATTCTGTTCTGTTCTGAACTGTCAGCAGTGAGTGGGATTTGAGAGTACAATATATCCAGTATTCACAAGCTTACGAAGAGAAGATTGTCTACATTCCTCTAACTAGGTCTAAATACTGGTGAGTCAGTTCCTGAAGAATTCTTCAAAAATAAAATCAATGTTCACATAATACAACACACCTTCTGAGTAGCGATGGAACAGGATGCTCTGGGTCCTCAAAATCAGCACAATGTTGTCAGGGTTTGGTCCTTGACTGGCCCATGAGCTGCGGCTGCAGAGGAATTCGTATGCCCTATTCACACTCTCAAAACGATCCTGCAAGAAACATGTTTCAAAACAACCTATCCTATGGTCAGAATAAGGTCCTGTCAGAACTGTATGTGGTCTCACAGGGCTTACTGACATTCAACTTTTGTTACTTTCTGTTACCTTAATATGTGCATTTTATGTTGGGTACCAATTTTACAATGACCCATTTTGAAGAACAGTCACAAGATTGATTTTCTGCTTCATGCTACATAGGGGATATACACTACTGACATGGATAGAAACTAAATTTGACTGACAGCCTTTAGAGCAAGCCTCAAATATGGAATTTTGTCAAACTCCTTAATTTTCTTTGTCTGTAATACATTTAACAACACTGCCAGTAGCTCTGACTATAGAGCATTGAATGATGGAATGATTAATATGTAAGTAATAGAAGAATGCAGCCATGGCCAGAATTTGACTGGGTGAACTAAGCAAGAGCATTTTCTTTATTCTGGCCTACTAAGGAATTTCATATTCCCATGTAGCCTGTGCAGAACTGCAGAACTTTCTGCTGTGTCTAGTGACAGCAGTGACTCACCCTGCCCTCTGGGTTCTTATCAGGGTGAAACTGCTGTGCAAGACGGTAGTATGCTTTCCTGACAGTAGCCTCTTCATTTTGCACTCTAGGACGCAAGCCCAGAACCTCATATGCATCATCTACAGACATAGCAGGGGGCTTCTTTTCCACTTCCTTCTTCCATGCATCAAGAACATCTTTCAACAGTTTCACCTACAGCAAACCATAGAACACTGAAGAAATCACATCACTTTGGCTGCTGTGTGACCATAAGACATATGTTTTCTAAATGAGCTGTGACTGACATGTAACTGATAGCCAACAATTTATGCTAGAAACTTTAGTATCAGCAATTATTACCTATTAACTTGTATTATCTGTTCCACAGAAGTCACAACACACATGATGTTTCAAATTCATAAAGTATCTGATAGCCTGGCTACTCACAGGTTCATTGATTGGCCAGTCTGGGAAGCGAGTGGCGTCACACAAGTGACGCAAGTAGAAAATGTTGCAGAATAGTTCCTCATCCAGTTGCGGGTAACGCACGACTGGTATAGCGCAATACTGATACAGAGCTCGAGTGTTGCTTCGCAGTCGTGGGCTGAATTCTGCTATGTGTGCTGCCACCTTCTCTATAAGCATCCGCCTGCAACATAAATCAATAAAAATAAGAGTTACTCACTCATTACAATTATAAGCAAATACGGAATGTGAAAAAACAGCTTATGCTCAGAACAATTCAACCCTGAAGGTTTGTTTCTCCAAAATGCTGTTACTCAGCTATAAGCTCACCTGGCATTACAACCCAAAGACCAAAATTGACATCCACACTGCCATGAGAACCTCATACACTCTCAAGAAGATCCTTAAACAGATGTACAGGTCCTGTTTTATAATATCCATAACAGGACAACAATAGTGATGAGGATGTCAATAAACTTAATTCTACGAATGACTTGCCTCATCTCTGAATTCCAGATAGCCTCAGGTGTATCAAACTCCCCAAGGAAAATCTGAGCAAACTTTTCTGCTCCATGGTTCTCCAAGTAATTCACCATTGCTTCTGGTAGCAGCTGTCCAAGTACACTCCTTTGCATAATTTCTGACAGCAAAGTCTGTGGGAAAATACCACATGACATATTTCAGTGCCTCCAAACTTAACACCATCTGCTTCTAAGATCTTTCAATTAGTTATCTTTCATATTCTGAGAACAGACAGCTGAACACAGGAAACACATTCCTCAAAAACAGTCCTTGGCAATGTATGGGCAAACAGGATTATGGGATCATGGAAAAGAATGTATCCGTGTGATTTTGTGACAAATGCTGTTCACTTAATATCATTAACACATTAATATGTATGAGAAATTTAATAAACTACTCTGAATTAAGTGAGAGTTGCTTGCTGCAGAAGCAAGTTTAAAGAGAGACACCTGACACTGGTAACCAGCCGGAGATAAAAGTAAATTTTTCTGTGTTATGTACGGTAGTTACAGCGTTGTCAAAATCTTTCTGTATAAAAATGCATTCTATGATGATCGACTGTGCATAAGAGTAAACTTAATACACCACAGTACCATATTTTGGTTTGATGCTAGTGAATATAAACATGTCTAGTAACCAACACTCACGTTATTGTAAGAACTTGGACACCAATGCAATACTTCAGCCCTACATATTTAAACGCAGGTTACTTCTACATTACAATTAATTTTTACCAAAGATACTAATTTCCAACACTTTCATTTTTCACAAATTTATCAGAAACAAAAATTGATAAAGACAGAATACTTCTGTTTATGACAGTAAAATGTTTAGACTAGGGCTTCTCAAGCTTTCAAGACCTGCAGTCACATTCACCCTTTCTCACCACCATATGGGCCACCAAGTTATAATTTATGACAGTTTATTAAAACTTCATGGCAGTTAACAAAAACATTCCTTCTTTTGCAAACAGGTTCACATATTTCTCAATAATTTTCTTTAACAAATTTATTTATTTGCAATTTTTATTAATTATCCACTGATAATAATCACTTCTATTTTTGTATTACGCAGACTAAAACAACATCACAAAAATACACGCAAGCTGCACTGAACACATTTGCAGGCCATGGATTGAGAGTACCTGGTTCAGACTATGTTTAAAAATTCTGTCATTCTTATATGATGTAATTTCATGAGGAAAGACTACCAAATTAAACTCTCATAGGGAGTAAAAACTGCATACAGAATTTTACTGCAAAAACCTATTCTAAGGTGGCCAAATGAGGAAGAGATGGGAGGATAATACTAAAGCGAACTGTGAAGATATACAACGATGTAACTGGTTCAGAACTGTGTCTGATATTACTCTTGTTTAAGATTTAGGTTCAACTGTAACAGAATTTCAAAGATGCAGGAAATGTGACACTGTTAAAATTGATGTTGAGAGAAACTGGTAGAAAGGATGTGAACTGGATGTGGTACAACTGCAAGCTCTGGTGTGTTAAACCTTCAACATGCAGTTAGAGTGTGAAGTGACCTGTACATAATCAGATCAGCCATTTAACTTACATCACTTCCTTTCAAGGCCTGCTTGGTGTGGGTGAGCTGGAGAAAGCGAGCCACAGGCAGAACATTTGACCCGGTGTACATGAGGATGAAGTAAAATACACCTGTAAGGTATAGAGTGGAGATGTTCGGATTGTCTCTCATCACCTCACACAGCAGAGTTGCCACTTTCTCTACCAGTACTGGGTCAAAGGTCAGCAACAACTGAACTAGATGTGGCAAGCACACAGGATCAGATAACAGGCGTTTGACTTGTGGCAGTGGTCGAATGATGGCATCATCAGCATCTCTGTGGACAGGTAGATGTCACTTCATACAAAACATCTCAAAGGCTAGAATCTAAGGTACTTGGTAACTAGTTTGTGGGTGTTCCAACCCTTTAACAGTCAAAATGAAGAACCCTGCATCTGGGTATGGTGCATCTGAATATGTGACAGTCAGACTTAGGAACTTTTCACATCTCTTCTAGCTCACATATCAGTGAGATAATTAGGGAAGTAGATTCCAACATCTTTTAGCTGCATTTTAAAAATGTAGTTCAAAATCTCTGCCACCAAACAGATTTTGATTTCAAACTATAATTTTAAATTCCTATTGATCTAATTGCACTGTATAGCTTGCATCAGATATGCACAAAATTTAAATCTGACTTGCAAATTAGTTGGTTGGTTTGTTTCTTGGTCAATTAGTTGGCTAGTTGACTGTACTCCGATATAAGTGGCTTACCTACTGGGGAAATACTGACACATCTGAATAAGTATGTTAAGGATGAGAATGGCCAGTTCACTCTCATTCATCACAGGTGTTCCCTTTGCCATGAGACACCACTTGAGCTGGGGTACGTGCTGCAACATGCGCCACCCATCCATTCCCTGAGCCCAGCACTTTGTCCTGGCTGTGAGCTGATTCGACTCCCAAAGGTTGCACATCTGACAGGAAAACAAGCACTTCAGCATCACTGTACAGGTCTTCGGTGGAAAAACATAATTTACAAATGCTGTCTTCAAGCTTTGTCCACCCCTTGGTACAAGTTGTTTCACAAATATAAACGTGTCTAACCTCCTGGAAGCTGACTGGACCTTTCCTCTCCCCTGAACAATTGTAGTGCCACTCTGTCTCACTTTCTCTCAACATGTTTGGACCAGCTTCAATAACATTGCTCTGGGTTGGTACCACTGCCCTGTAAGCAGAATACGATATCATGGCTACATGTACAGATGTGCAGTGACACCTGCCTGTCAGACACAGCCAAACATACCTGGATGTGTGAAGGTGGGCAAGTGTCAGGAGATCCACCAATATCCGCACCCCACTGGCATCCAACACGTCCTTCACATTGCGGCGATGGAGTATCAGCTTGTTAATGAAGAGGACCAAGCGGTCACGTTCCATCTTGTCCATACACTTAGCAACAGAAAGTAAGATGATACAAAGTATTTTGGAAATGCAGCGTCAGCACAAGATCACAGTGGATTTTGACAACCTTCCTTCTTTTACAAGGACTGTATCAACGTGCATGTCACTCCGTAACAGTGGCTCAACTGGTCTTATTTTCTTGAAACTTGGTATAAACATAATGCCTCAGGGGCAACTCCTCTATCCCTTTCTAATGTGGTAACAATTTATATTTCCCTACTGGAATATTTGTTGAATGGAAAAACAAAGGGAAATTGGATAGAAAATGTTACCAGACTGTTGTATACAATTTAGAATTAGGAAGGTTCGGACAAGATAAAAGTTATGTTACATAAAACATATTACCTACTTATTTTGAGACATGGAGCAGGAAGGTGCACTTCAACTGAGAGAGATAAAAGCAGACTGAAAGCAGTAGAGACAATGTTTCTACTCAGTATTAAGAAATATGAGATAAAATGTAAAATCAAAACTTTAAAAACCCTGCAACATAAGTTCACTGCATTCAGGCTACAGTAACATGAATATGCATTAACAGATGACTACCAGATTCTTCTGAGAGCATCAAAGTGAAGATGTAAATAAATGACCATTCAGGAGACCAAGGACAAAGAAGAAAGATTATAAGAAGGTATACAAAAGAAAGAAGGTGAACAGTAGACAAAAGAATCTTAGAATAAACAGTCATTATTTCCTTAAAGAACATAAATCAATTGCCAGTTGATCTTTGTATTGGTGAAGTGTCATGTTTTCTATGCAATAACAACTGTAATTTTATACATAATTTTGAGGAGCCCTGGCTTCAAAGGTTTAAAGTCACTGCTGTATAAGAATAAAAATGAAATAAACTTAATTATCTGTTGTTTGATTCTGGGGCAAATTTCTCTTTTCCAGTATTTAAATGCCTTTAATGAGTATTCATCACATCATTTTCAAATGCTGTGAACTGATGTAACTGACTTCTACTGCAGATGCTTTCCAAGAGAAAACTTCTGTGAAGCTGGACATTTATATCCACTGGAGATACAGGTCTACAATCAGCCCAATGTAACCTCCTTGACATCACTAGCCTTATAATAGCAGAAGAGCTGTATAAATCATGATGTTCCTCACTATGAAAGTCAGTGGAACACTCACCCTGTCCAACATGCCAACAATGTATTTGGTATCACTAAATGGGCCAATGTCCTCATGATGGCGCCCATACACAATACCCATTGCTTGAAGACATATACACTTCATATCAGGTTTGGCTGTTAATAGAAATCGGTGGTAGAGGTCATTGAAAAACTCGTATGACCGACGTATGGGTGAGTCTGGGGAATCTTCTTTCTCCAAGAGTAGACGCAGGTAATATTCACCAATGCGCACTTCATCTGCTAGGCACTGGTACTGTACTTCAAACTCATGGTGATTCCATGCAATGAGGGCATTGCCTGCTAGGTCACGGTCAGATGCAAATGTACGGATCTCACTATCAAGGGCATCACGCAGTTCCTCTCTTGTCTGGAAGATATCAGGAATCAGGGTGAGAAACTGAACAAATCTCAACAAACAGATAGCACCAACTAAATAAGCACATTACTACCTTAACTATATCGCTACCTGAGTGCAGGCCTAACTGGCGGCCTGATGAACTTCAGTGCCAAACATATTAGTTTAAGACTGAGCAAATGCAGCATTTCCCTTCTATTATCACTAACAAACTATGACCAAGCCTTCATCATGGTTTGGAGGCTAATTAAATGATATGTTGCTTCAACCAGCCATTATCTTCATTGTCATCACCATTATACAATCACAACATGTCTGTCACATAGGTTTCCTGATCTCAGAAACACACTTCAGCAAGGCAGATATGACAAGTATTCAAGGAATTAATTAAAACAACATTTTTTTACTATAAACCCACTAATGTACATCCCTAAATATCTTCTAACAGGACCTGAAAGTATGATAATGCGAATATCAATTCTGATCCTGTTCAATTCAGTACACATACTCACGCTTATTTCTAAACAATCCATATTAATATGTGCTCCTTTTAAGATATTATTTTCTAACAGTTTTACCCACCTAAATTTTTATGCTTTTATTGTTTCTTCTTCTGAGACTACCACAACCTCCTAGTTTGGCCACACTAGCAATAAAATATAAGCTCTATAAATCTTGACATTCATATTCTTTCCTGGCTACAGATGTAAAATTTCAAATGCTCCTTGGAAACCCTTGTGCCCACCTTGTGGTTCCATATCAGATTTGGCAGGGCATGGTCCTGAGCAAACTTGTAATAGAACAGGCTCCAGTTGGCTTCGCTCTTTATGCGCTCCCGTCTCTTCCGGAGGACAATAGGTCTTTCTTTTAGCTTGTCTTCTCTCCTCTCTAGCCCAATCCTGTCGCCCCAGTGCCGGAAAGCATTCTGTAAGAGCCGGCACTAGGCATTATACTGGGGAGCAAATATGATTTGGGGAGGGATATGTATACAGCTGAATACAAATTATCATATAAAGCATACTCTGAAATTAGACCATAATACCCAGGACCACAAGGCCAATGTATCCTGTCTGTGAGTCCTCCTGTAACCTACTGGCCACCAATTATAAGAACAATTTGTTCAAAGGCCATGTCCAAAGGGGAGGGAGGGGGTTACAGTAACAAAGAATAAAGATAAAATTGTTGTGGAACTTTATATGAATGTCTCGTCAGATACTTCAGATGAAGATGTCTCACATACTAGTGGCAATGATGGTGTTCAGTTTCACTTCATAATGATGTGTGTTCTGAGAGACAACATATTCAGAAACATCATCAGACTGTCTTCCCATAGCCCTACAACAATAAAAAGCCATCACAAGTCATAATTTTGTTCAGGATGATGTTTCAGAGACATCAGCAACAAATATCTGAAAATTTAAAATTTACCAGTTGAATTTGAAGTTCTCATGTAGTCTGGTAGAAGTTAACCAATAAAAATGGCTGTCTTCTGGGTTGTAGCTCTGTGTAATCTGCTAGAAGTTTACTAATGTTTCAGACATCCTTGCTGCCTCCATCATCAGGGCTTTTTACCAGACTACACAGTGCTACAACCCAAAAGACAGCCATCTTCATACTCACCACCATGAGAACCTCAAATCTTTCTAAGTTCACTAACATTTCAGAGGTCCTTGCTGTGTCCATCATAATCACACTGATGACTAAAGTTGAATGTCACAGCATTAGATTTAAACTGAGAAATATAAATGGGGATTACGGTGTAGTGTATTTTATGTTTGCAGAACAGTGATGATAGAACCAACACATCTAAATGAAATGAGTGGATATTTCAAGTTTGTTAATCAGTTGTATTTCATACCTCTACGTGCTTCTCCAGAACCCTTATCTGACGCTCAATAGTGACCCAATGTTGCCCACGTCTGTTCTTGCTGGCATGATCCAGAGCAATCTTGAGATTATCCCTTGTGTTCAGCTGTTCCTGTTCTAGTGCTGAATCAGGAATTTTATCCTCAGAGTCAAGATATGCAAGAAGACCTGAAGGCTGTGGAAGAAAGGCAACACATCTAAATTCAGTAAACAGTATTACTTCTTACAGAGCAAAGAATAATGCATAAACATAAGCTGCAACCTGTCTGACAACTTCTCAAACTCTCATGCCAAATTCATTTGCACGTGCCACAGCCCATTATCATATGTGGGACAACCGAGTCATGATGATAAAACCATTAATCTGTTGTGGAGGAAACGCAAGTACCAAAATTTAGATGAAGTTTTTCTTTTAAGTTTTAAGGTTTGACTTATTTGATATGAAGACACCACTGCTACTAAGTCAACTAACTAATTTCCTTAACATGGAAGTTACATACCTTTCACTTTTCATACAGGAAAGTAATAATCTGAAGAGCCTCACTCTTGTCACAAACACGATAGTTGCACTGAAAGTATCAGTTGCATTTTTGAACACAATAAGAAAACAGCAGATGGTGGCAGTAATTCTTACAATGCATAACACAAGTTCACACCAACCCTTAAAAAATAACTCAAAATTTATAACATAAAACTTCCCTAACTCCACAACTTATTTATAACTTGACTAACAGTCTTCTGCCAGCAGTCAAGTATGTTGAAATATACTAATGTTGTGGAATCTAAATGTTCATAATTGACACCACAGGTGCCCAAGTCCTGAGTGAGTCAACTTTATTATGAGCTGACCATCATACTGCCTGTAATCAGCTTTTGTGTTCTTGCATTATAACACTGCTACAGTATCAAGTGGTCTCACCATTATTCTCTTGAGCAAGCCCATTGCAGTGGGGTGGCCAGTAACCCACAGGCCGACCAGGTGGCGAGAGAGCTGCCGGTGAGTGAGTACACGACCGTCCGTGCCTTGAATAAAAAGAGCAGTTAACAAATGGCGCGGCAACGCTCCCTCAGCTAGTGCGAGATCCTGCATCCGAGCAGCCACTTCAGCATCTCCTTCCTCTATCACAGCTCGCATCACCAGCCCTGCCCCTTTCACTACGGCCAATGAGGGGTGCTACCAACACAACAAAACACATTGCTCAAATTTTCTTATAACTGCAGCACATGTCAATAAAATATAAGATTCTCCATCACAGCCAGAGCATGAACCTGAGCAATCACCTGCACCTAGCACAGAGGTTCAAAATGTTTGGAGCTTTAGCTCATTATAACTGAAATATAACCTTTAAACTGTCACCTTGTGCTTTCTTCTTTATATAAAACATTAGGTACACATTCAGTGAAAAAATATGTGAAGTTAGAAGTTCTTGTACATAACAAATACAGCAACACTACATTGACAACTTTAGATGACCTGTGCAGAAAAACCTTTCATCATGTGTTATCATAAATGGGACACTTACTACACCGCTTTCCTTCACATATTTAGCTATGCCTCGTGTAACCTGGGTACAAGTCTAATGTGCCTAAACCTTATAATGAAGAAGAATTCAAACATTTTCCTGAGCAGTTTTCTTTCTGAGAAATTGCAATTTCTTTTCCTCCTTCATAGCAAGAGGCCATATTTTACAATACAAAACAAATGGAAAAATGGTTAATATATGCTGATTCAGAATAAATTTGAACACAATTTCACACTTTACTTTTCATATTGAAATTCAATACAAGCAGTATACCTGAAACAATCTAAAGAGAGAGCGCCCCCTATCAGCCACCATCTCCAACAGGTTATCAAAATGCTTGCCATCTGTTGTCTCACTGTATGGCACACACAGTGCAAATGTAAGAAAATCCAACATGGATGACACCACCAGTGCCCCCGTACCATGGCTCTGAAACGTTAGAAGCAAATCAGTGGTTGAGGGTAACATCCACAGAGGGAAAATGGTAGCCTTTACTGCTGTTGGTATCACACTAGACAGTAAAAGTGCAAGAAACTTTCACACTACAGTATATTCTAGAGCTTGAAATTAATTTTTTTAAATATGTCAGCATTTGACATCTATAAAAAGCAGACATTTTAAACACAACAAATAAAACATATCTCAATAAATTAATCAGAACACAAGGAAAAAGAAATTTAAGAGTGAAAAGCTGCCACACTTTCGTAAGAATTACAGTAGCTTTGGATGTTGGCTTTTCTGCACAAAACAAAAATACAGAATGGGGCAGACAAACAGGAAATTTTAAAAACTCGGTAATTAAATAAATAATTTGTATTTGCCAACTTGCCTTGACAGTGATAGCATGTTGTGCACCACTCCACTGTTCAATGGTTACTAAATGGAATGATGTGGACAACAGGATGTACAGTGACACAATCCCCCTACCACCATACCAGCACCCAGAAAATTAATTTTTAAAATCACCCATTTCCCTGTCCTATCCTATGCTACCAAGATATATCACAAGACTGGCACTGAAAATAGGAACAAAGCCTGCCAGTTTGATTACACACTATGTACATTTAAATAGCACACACTGCAATGTGTGCCTGGCTATTGCATGTAGTCAGGCATCAATGTGTTAATGTAGCATTCTGGTACTCTTTGGGACTCACCACATGGTCAATCCACATTGCAAGCAAACTTTCCAGGAACTTGCTGGAAGACAGAAGTGATGACTTGTTCAGCTGCTCCTGCCGCAGATCATAGTTATCATGCATGGGATACATCAAGGCACACACCATGTCAATAGCTGCATGTGTCACGCCTTCATCTTCCCTCTTCAACGCTTTTACAACCTTTTTACCCACACTTTCTCGGAACCTGTCCTTGGCACAAAGGCAAGTGCTACAACATCATTTTGATAAGAAGATACCAAAGTTTCCTGTGTCCTAATGTAAACCTTGTCTGTACACAACAAAAGTTGGTAAAAAATTAAAAATGTCATATCCTTCTAGAGTTTGAAATGTTCTGAAACTGTGTGGACAATAATATTCAAATTACTTAGTTTCAGTCTGTGGGTACTCTATTCAATTATCACAGAGTGGACACTAAAATGCCCCCAAAAATTACATGAACTCAGAGATTTCTTGTAACCTATAGGTCACTCTTCTGGCAATTCAGCTCACAGGTTCCCTGCTAAGATAGCTACAGTCCAAAAAGGGTAAACAGGCCTCAACTGGGGATTAATTACATCAAAAAAATATCCTCAGCTTCACATGCATGCATAATTAAGACTGTGAGCTGGAATGGATAGCTCAGCAAGTATGGTAACTGGCATGTGGCTGTAACACTGGTGTTCAGATCTGGGCCACCATTTCCAGACTAGCACAGGGGCCGAGAGTAAATCAATCAGAGCAAAAAGTAACTACTTACCTGAACTATATTTTGCCAAACATTAAGACAACACTACTGCACTTATCTTAACAATATTACAAAGTACAGCCAAACTACAGGGCACACTACAATTACTCACCCAGACAACGTGGTGAAAGCTGCAAAACCCACTTTGGAGGCTACTAGGCGTCGCAGAGCTTGAAACTGAGCTTCCAAGTCCTTCAGAGAGATGGTGCTCTGGTCCCCTTCCTTCTGAACAAGTGACTGCAGTGCTGCTGTGATGGGCTTCTCCTTATTTTCTGCAAACAAACCCTGCACAGAAACTTATGATCAGTGTGTGCAAGAGGCTATGTATTCATACAACTTGCCACAATCAGCACAATACTTACATCCTGGGTCACGGAATGAAGTAGGCCACTATATGGAATGTTGGCATTAAATCTTTCTACAATTTCGGCAAATGATCTCTTCCCAGGAGGGTTCTGGAGGAACCGCAAGTGATGTGACTCAGTCTGGCAGAAATGGAAGTTCACAATTAAACACAAACAGAAAGCTAAAGAAAAGCCCACTGGACTGTTCTTAAGGATGAAGACTGGGTGCAGTGGTGGGCTGTCATAGATATGGAAACGGATCTTCAGGTTCCATAAACAGAGCCACTACTAGCTTCTCACTGACTCTGCAACATGCAATTGGTTTCTAAGAAACCGAAACTACCGCGAGCTTTGAGACTACACACAGACATAAAAATGAGTAGATTTAATTTTTTTATAATTTTGATAAACTACATATAAAAATTGGTGTCTTCAACAAGCCAGATGAGTCATATTCATATTCACTTGTGAGAACATAAAATCTAACTTACATATGAAAATAACACTGGTAAAATGGAAAATATTTCAATTGTGCGTAGCATGTCAATGAACAACTTCAGTCATAATACAATAATCCACATGTTTCAGCTACATTTTAGACTATTAGTTCATAATTCTCATCAACATAATGATCCATTTCCAAAAATTCACTTCAAGATTATAAAGGACAGCATTCTTCGTTTCAATGCTCAAAAAATATGTACAGCATTAACTATGACTCTTTTATACGCAAAGTTATTAAAATTGCCTAAACTTTTCAATATGTGATTATTTTTATACTCTGCAAAAAAACTTCATTTGAGAGTGTTGTGTAGGAAAAAACTGAATGAAAATGGGTGAAGGATCTAGCATAACCGATTCCACAAAACTACTGTGATTTTATAACTGATAATCTGTGAAATCAATTGACTGTAATCAAGAGATGGACATGGTGGATATTTAGTAAAGATGTATTATGTAATGTGCGCTTTCTGCAGCATCTCTACCTCCTCCTCAACGGGGACACTGAGAGGACCAATCCGCTTGCCTCTGGGGGTGGGCACCATCTTGACGTGAACATCTCGGTTCCCTGAGGCTCGTACTCCATCCAAAAGAGAAGCTAATAAGGCATCCCTGCGGAAAATATGAAATACTGCCTTTCATCTTGAAGACACAACAGTAGTAGCCACACAGTAATTGCCAAAAAAAATGTGGTAGAAATTTTCATTTTAATGTTCCAAAGAATTAGATAGAATATGGAAAAAGCACATAGTGTGAGAAACTTACCTGTCAGTTGCTGTGTACATGCGAACCTGCCCACTGATATACTCAATGGTGAACAACTGGGGGTTGTCCTGACTCCTAACAAGTGCAAAGATGTCAGCCAAGGGTCTGAGGGTACAGATGCTGTATGTCTGAGGGTCTCGCTCCAAAAGACACGTTTCACTGAGACAAAGAGTTCGCCGCTGCGGATCTTTGTGGCGTGCAGCATGTACTTTGTGGATGTTGAACTCCGAAATAGATGTGATGTACTCGTCACCACTGAAACAGTCACTTATTTCTGTTACCCACAAGTGACTGTCGTTGTGGTGTATTTTAAGGTCAATCCCAGTTTGTGGTTGGAGAGACTCAGAAAAACTACAAGATGTCTCAGGACAGCAGGCCTCCAGGTAGAGAACAGAACAAGAACACTCTTGAATACAAAGCAGTAGTAGTACCACACATAGAACAAGAAATTTTATGTGGCGATTTCACTATATGTACTGAGTATTATGCATAAACTTCCCCTTCTTATAGAACAACATCAAATTGTACAGTATTACCAACCTAAACTTCCCTAACCGCTGTGCAGAAAACTCGTCCAGTGTTATAGGATCTTTTAAGACCTTGATGCCAATCCCAATACATTTCACAGCCATGTCTATCATTCTCTGACGAATTTCACTGGAATGCGCTGACACAAACAGGTGCTGGAATAAACATATGCTAATTTATACAGTGTGAACCTTCCAAGAGACTACTCCCTTGACATGAATTCATTCAGGGAATCTAGGGTTTCATTTCAATGATTGTTTAAAACAATCAGCAAGAACTACAGTAAACTACACAGAATAAAAAATAAACTTTGCTGGTGGCATAAATGTGGTTCCTTTATCATTGTAACTTCCTTTGTAAGTTTTTCAGAAAACACTTATTTTCACATTGCTTCAATGAGTTTTAAACAAATGAAGCACACATGATCATGCAATCATACCATTCTTCCAAACCCTCCACAGACTACCACGAAACCTCCTGGGTTATCCTTGACTTCTGCCATGCCTTCAATGTCTTTATAGCAGTATGATGCAAGAACATGTTTTGTGGCAAGGTCTAGCTGGTTTAGAGAGTGTGGTGTCACTTCCAGCATTACAGGCAGCCGCATGTCAGACCAGTGGTGCTTGTATGCATGACATGTCTACCAACATCAAACATTATAAATTAACAATCTACATACACACACAAATGACTCATGAGAGAAAAAAAGTACCAAACCAAGTAAAATCTGCTTTCCTTCAGCAGATGTTAATTACTCAAACTGGCTGAAAATGTTGTTTTTATGAAACCTGAAACTCACTGCTATTGTCATAAAAGACTTATACAATTAATCCTACGCTGTGGCAGCTCAGTCCCATTAAACACCTTCACAGCCTATCTCTCAAATCAATTTTAATATTATATACTTCTCTCATATATGCCTATGCTCCTCAAGCAATCTCCTAAAGTTTTCTAAACAACATTTATTCTTCTTTCTTCCACATAATTTACATTTGTTCATGTTTAATACTTCTGCCCACTTGGCAAGCACAAAGGAATCCAGCTCTGAGGTGGAACACCAACAGAACATGCTTAAATTTATGAAGTACTAATCCCAATGCCGTCCATATTTACAAGTATCATTTTACACAAATACAATGTATCTTTTTCAATTATTCTACAAAGAGTGAAATGCAAAATAAATGCTGTTTGGCTTCTCAAAACTGCCTATGCAGTCACAAAACCTACAGCAGAAAACTTCAAAACAAAAGAAATTTAATACAGGTTACCAGTTCAGCATTAGTAAAATGTACACTGGTAAATGTGTTTCTTTGCATTATGATGCTGTGCTGTCTTGTAGGTGGTACCAATGTCTCAGAAGAACATTCACCTTCATCTTTAGAGTATAAGTTAAGATAAGTATGTAACCACCATCAAGACTTCACAGTGTCAGACTCCAAGGGACAACAATTTAACAGCTGTAAAAACATGAAATCTCAAACTGAAAACAGCCGCTATAGTAAAACATTTTGTCTATTTCTTTCTGATGTTCTTGTTTTGCTTACTCTGATACTATTAACATTTCATATTTCCACAGAACCATGAGAAACCATGCTGCAGTTTGGGCAGCAAGACACTGGCTTCTCACTGCAAAGAACCGCACTCAATTTGAGATGAGTTAAAGTGAGATTCATAGTGAACCAAGTGGGACTGCAGCATGTTCCTCTCCAAGTTCTCAGTTTTCCACCACTGCTCCATACCCATCTACCACTGACCCATGAGATACGTGACAGCAATGAGAAGCAGCACATTAACATACCTCAGACCAAAGTTAAGAATTTTATCTCAAAAACAGGACTAAGCTAGTTTCAGAGTAAAGGCAGTTTAAGTTAGTTTTATTTCTACAGAACCACTGGCTGTTGAAATCTAGAATGAAATAACTGAACTACAGGCATGCAAATGTGGCATGGCTCAAAATTAAACTGTAGGATTTGAGGGACCCACACTCCTGTTGGCTGTCCTTCCATACATGCTATAATTGATACACAGTCTGCAATACACACCAATGTTTCTCTATTTTTTTCAGGAAATTGTGGTTGAAAACGAAGTGCCTCTGTGAGCAGATCAGCTCGATGCTCACATGAAAATGTCATTGAGTCACTCTTACAATCCTTCTTAAATGTGATCCTGAACTCATTGTTCCGCTGACCACCCTTCAGAACTGGTAACACACTGATGAAGTCACTGTAGAACCACTGATTGGTCACGTCCAAAGAGAGAGGGTTATAAGTCGTAATGCCCACTGAGCCAATGGAGAAGATTCTTTTGTATCTGTCAACAGAGTATCCTGGTATATTAAAGAGGTCCAATAATGAGGTTTTTTGATAACATCAATGAATCCTCAGCTTTCATATAAGCACACAATTTCTTCATTTCATAAATAACTACTCATAAAAACCATGCTGCATGGAGTTATTTGAACATTATGTATTGTACCATACACCACAACCTTAGTCACCAAATTTAAGTTCACAGCTTAATTGCTAAATTTGTTATATTCAATTACAATGGTGCTAACTGGGTTGACAACACTACCCAAACCATGTCATTCGTGCATACTACATTAACCAAAAATGTACAATAAACTGACTGTAAAGTCTTCAGCATGAGCACCTTGTACTGGTTAACAAATGCACTAAAATAATACTGACCAATACACAAAATACTTTCAACAGTTTCTTTGGATTACTTACTTCCCTCTCCAAGACGAATGTTTAGTGACAAGGAAACATGCCACATCTTGGTTATCTTTCAGTGGAGTCATTGTCATCTTCTGTAAAACAACACATTATCATTATAAAGTTAAAACATACCACAGAAACACAACCAGGCTGTTTCAAAAACTATGTGTAAAAAAAGGAAAATATCACCAAAAATACATCATCGTTCAGAAAAAATGGTGAAGTGCTTTAACTTTAAACTTCCGCTGGTTTTCGGTGACAATTTGGGTTTTCCCAAATAATGAACTTGACATAAGAAATCGGTTATCTAGAAAGGTATGCACCACAGGTTGGGATGTAATACAAATGTCAAACGTCAAAACCAGTAGAATGCTACAGTCATTAAAATCTATTACAGATTTTAATAATCATTTATGCTTAAGAACTATGGCATTATTTAAAAAACTAATAACTTTCATGCGAGGTTTCAACATTACAACAAATATCTTCATGGACGTATCACATCTACCACTACAAGCACTTGCGATACCGCCATTATTATTTGTGGGTGTTAGGGGTTTCGTGTAAGCCACAGATTTTCTTTGTAAATCAGCTGCTAGGCTTTGGCGGGGAACATAATCCAGAGATAATAACACCTCTGACTTTAACAGCAACACCACCTGAAAACAAAAGCAATTAATTTACCTCAGATACATTTCCGTTTGTAAACGACAAAGTCCAGCAGGTTAAATGGGGGATGCACTATGGATTTTACTTGATAGGAGTTTACCCCGCAGTAGTAACAGGAAAAATCATCCAGTAATATTTTCTTGTGCTCAGTCCAGAGATGACAATTCTGAATTTAAATTCGGAGCCGAGGTTAAAATGACGACAAACAATGCATTTCAATCTGAGCGAAAAACAATATTCAAGACGTACATCCGCTTATCAAAATGCAAAAAGAACGTCGGTTGTGTGGTTACGTTAAATTCAAGAATCGGCAACCTCAATCGCTAAGCACCTTCTTTTGCTACCCCTCATTCCTCCACAAATTAACAACTTGCTAGGACTGTTCCAAATTTACCACGCGGCAAAGGATGTAATGTTGGTGCACCTAATTGCTTGATGAGTAGTGAACCTTCTTACCGATTGGGGAAATGAGGGAGGAATTTAATAGACAAGGCGCAACGTTGTCAACCAATAACAGGTTACATATCTGTAACTAGCTGGATTAGGGAACTCGAAGGTTCATCACCAAATTTACCAAAGCCCTCCACCTGTCCTTGTCCTAGCCCAACAAAATCCAATCGGCTTCAACTTCTATCTCCCACAGATCCTGCTTGATAACATCCTCTCATTTACATCTAGGTTTCTCCAGCAGTCTCTTCCCTTCACGATTCCCAACCAATAATGGAAGACATGCTAAGAGATATTAAAATGAGACAGTTTGGAGACATTCTAAGAATGGATAAAGGTAGTAGCCCAACAAATGTTCTTAACATGGACAGTATATACTTCTTCTGCTGCCCCTTCCACCCCTCTGATCCCATGGCATTTATTTCTAATGGTCCTCAGATGTGCGGATTGGCCCTGACATAACATCTATGCTGCATAACAGTTATTATGGAATTCAATTTGATTAAACATACAGAAGAGACAATGTCTCAGGAATAAATGTTAGGAAAACTGAAAACTACCTTGTTTCAATATAGGTTTAAATATAGGTTCCTAACAGTATGTATGTTGCAGTCAGCATTTCCTCTTATTGATGGGAACTGCATCAGAATGTGTCTAACACGAAAATATACCACTTTACACATACATAGACAAGAGGATAACATTAACATGGGTCTTTGGTAACTATCACAAGGTTTTCATTGTACTTATCAGTCCTTCCAGGCAAATAAATTTCAATTATTTGTGGCCTTTTCATTTCCTGATGAAGACTCATGACAGGACCAAACCCCTTGACAGTCCACATAATGCACTGTCCTATTCAAAACTGCAGATGTGGTTTAAACATATTTCTGCCTCATATGATTTTAAGCGATTTGATGCCATTATGGTTGTCAGTGCAAACTTCTCTACAATACATTCATACATTTATTAGGTCCTTCATTCAGTTAGCAAGACTATTCCATTTAATTCACAGTTAAGTACATGAAAAAACACAAAAACTGAAAAAATAAAGTTGTAATACATGCAAATTATGTTATCTTAAAAACAGCCACAACACACATTTCCTATCAAGAGATTCAAATTAAAACAAGTGCAAACATTACTTATTTTGCAATATGTGTAGGTGTGTGACTTTTAATTTGGTAAACGAAAGTCTTCTACAATCAAGACTTCCTTTTAATTTGAAAAATTTTTGAAAATGTACTACTTTCTTTTGTGTCCTCTTCCAGATCTTTGAGACACATATTTGGCCCTGATATACTGGAGCCATCACTGTTTTTTTCAGAAGCCAGCAAAGACACTAAACTGTCCAATGATTTCATGGGGCTTGCTTCTGCTTTTCGAGGCATTGGGTGTGTTTCAACAGATTCAGGGGTCTCAGATGTTTGTGTCATAATAGGTCCAGTGGCCTGCAGCTCTGGTGTGACACAGCAACTACTAACTGAACTGTAGAAAGCCTGTGACATGCTCTCTGAATATCCCTCTGCAGAATCCAGGGAGAGTGTAGATGAGCTGTCATCTACTTCCTCATTTTGATCCCTTGCAGGAACATCATTGGTTGTTTTGGCCTCTGCTGCCTTCATGATTGAATGTGGAGTTTCTGCATTGGCTTGATCTGCAGCATTGAAGGTTGTCACTATGGAGTGATGATTTGCATCATTGCTTTGGTTTTTATCTTGAGACGATATGACCAACATATTTGATTCTAGAAAGGGCACTATAGTTTTGTGCTTCAAGTCTGTGTTTGCTGTTGTCTGGCTGTTTGCATCTGCTGCAGTATCTTCACTAACTGCTATTGCCTTACACTCAGTCATCTTATTTTCATTGTCCTCACTTGACAGTGAATCATCAGAATCTTCCTCTTCTTCATGCGGCTAAATAGGAAATCAGACATATACTCCACGTTTGTGTGATGTGACAGTTGTTTAGCTTTGTAGTATGTTACTTAACATAATCTTATACTACTTTTTCTTAATTTAATGGCAATGTGTCTTACACATATAATATGCTAAAATTCCTTGTGAGTTTTCTGGTAATGGCAAAGAAATTGTTTAACACTTTTGACAGTCTGAAATGCATCAGACTAGTATTCTTGTGAACTAGGTCTGAATTACCTATAAACTTGAAATATATTATCAGTAGTGACAGTAAATTTTCCTTCATTATATATGATAATCTTGGTAAACTTTTTTTAACTAAAAACAAAATATTTCCAGATTTATAACTGACTTTTTAGTTGCATCTCCTTAACCAACATCCTACTGCTTATTGTCAGATTGCATGAATTGTCTAATGGTCTGAATTAATAGAAATGTATTGCACTGCCTTTGCCTATGTAAAGTGTCAATATTTTAAAGCTGTTATTACTATTTTCACCTTTTACATGTTGAAAAAAATATTAATGCAACCAGAATCTACAAGTTTTCAGTAAACTGTGAACTATTAACATGTCTTACATATGTATGCACAAACTTCTGCATTTTTACTATTGCAATAGAAGAATTAAATTAGTAGATTTGACAGAAATATAAAGTTTTTGTGTAAGTGTAGCCATATGCTCATATAAAGGTGCTCTTCGAAAAGAGAAATGAAATATATCTAAATTTTGTGTAGGAACAAGTATTGCTGAAAGGTTTGGAGACATACAGCCATGCACATACATTTCACCACATATTTTGCATCACACAGAATAATGTAAAGCAGTCCATAAATTGATATAAATTCAGACACAGACTTACAAACTGATTATTTGTGTGTCACACACTAGTTATTAACTGGTGATAAAGGACACTAAATACATTAAAACTGAGTCTCATGTACAGGCCTTCCCTATCAAGGTTGTTAACAGTGAACATGAATATATAATTAAAGCATCAACATGAATAAATAATTAAGGTAACATTTTAAGTATAGGTATAAATATCAGTTCACATTAGTCTGTGTTCATTGTGTGCTCAGTGATACTGTCCCCAAACTGGTGAACAAACACTTGTTCCTTATGTAATGTAGCTCTTTCAAGGAACAAGCTGAATCACCTTACCTCATAGTCTGGGTCATCATCACTTGTGTAGTTGTTGCATATGCGATTTATCTTTTGTAGCATATCTTCCATATCATCAGAGGATTCGCTTTCTTCTGCCACTGCTTTCATATTTCCTGTCTGAAGTAGACAGCACCAGCATTGTTTATATCGCTCACAAACAAGCTGCTCAATCAACCACAGTTAATTCATGATATTATTGAAACCACAGTACAGTATTACAATACAGCATTTAAATAATGAAATGAAGATGGGTGTGTTCTGGCTTGTAGCACTGTGTAGTCTGTTAGAAGTTTAATGTTTACCAGATTACATGGTGCTATAATCCACAAGACAGTAATCCTCATACTCACCTCAAAACAGTACTAGATTTAGAAATGTTTGCATATTGCAATGAAATAATTTTAATTTGAAATTATGAAAAGCATTAAAACATACTGTGTACTTCTAACCAAATAGGATTATTATTAGAACCCTATTAAGGTGATCATATAGATGGGTTAGGGCATGTAGCAGGCAGTTGAATATTCAAATAGATCTTAAACAGATAGGAGTGGGAGGATAAGTATTGGATTCAACTAAGGATGTGGACCAGTGGCAGGGTCTTTCAAACACAGTAATAAGTTTCAGTTTCCATAAAAGGTAGGAAATTTACTGCCTGTGCGTCTGTTACCTGTGCGGATGTGACATCACGCAGAGCTGAGAGTACTCGACCAAGACCAGTGAATGCCAACAGTGTACCCAGTGGACCCACAGACAACACTTTTAGTACTACACACTGATTTGCAGCCTGAAACCAAATGACAAGTTGAGAAATATAAAATACCATTGGTCCACATGATCTCAATACATGTCAGTGCCTTTCCTCATTCCTTCAGGCTGGGATAGTATCTTTGAAAAAGCCCCAATTGCTTCCTTCCTTATGCATGCCACCTTCTGTCATCCGCATTCCAATATACAACAAGCATTGGGTGTTTGCTTCCAAGCCAGTTTTATAATTTTACCTTGTGGCCTGGACTGTATCATCTAAAACCAGACAGATACGGAATAGCTTAGTCTGCTAGATACAACTGAATAAGTACCCCAGATGGTGTTGGTGGTGGAAACAATAAACAGGATGAATGAAATCCAAAACGAAGACATTAATAATACAACAGATATTAGACACATTTAGAGAAAAAACAGAAATGTTGATATAAGATGATATTGAGTATGCAGTGATATGTTGTATAACTACTGTAACCAATTTATATTGAATTAATTATTTATATCATGAACTGAAATAGCTCAATAAGTGCAGATACTGCAAGTGGACAGACAGGGTCCAGTTCCACATGGGAGACAGAAATTTCAATCCTCACCACCACCACTACGTCCAGACATGACAGACCCAGCAAACCCCTCATCCAAGTGGTACAGCAGGCTATTTTGTGGGGAGAGAGCAGCTGGAGTACCATTCTGACCACTGATCTCCATTTAATAAAGATATCTAGAATGTGTGGATCTATCTTTATCTGTTCAAAAGTGTGAGAGGAGCAAAGATGGAGACAAGCAATCCGCATTCCAAAAAGCCTTTGGTGCCAATCAGGGGACTGGGTAGGCTCCAGGAATGGTCTGGTCACACCAGTGGTAAAAGGGAAAAAATCTGTCCCTCATGAACGGAATCCTGTAGGCAGTCACCGTGTAGTCTAAGCTGTTATGGGTAACTGTTGAAGAGCACACAGTATGAAAAGTTGCCAGGGTTAACAGATGAAACCCAGCCTCTGTAGACGATATCAATATCGGCCACCTAACAACAAAAATATATCCTGTGCCCAGACAAGACCACACTGTTATCACTTTTCAGCTCAATGGAGCTTGTCTCCAAGCAGTAGGGGTTAGACGTGTGATCTTACCTGTTTGTTTCTATTCTCTGCCAGCTGCCAGCTGCAGAAATTCTGAAGACCTTGGTACTTCAGAGCGCGTAGGCGCCGGCGCCTAACCCGGAGGAAATGCACCACTTGCAGGGGGTGTGGAGGTACCGTGCCCCTGAGAGACGCCACCATTTTGACACCGAAATTAACCAGGCGCAGCCACATTAGCAACGGCAGGAACAAAGCCCACGGCAGAGGACGCACCGGTTGGGACCGAGGCATCTCGTCAAGAGCTGAAACAGAGCCAGTGCCATTACGACACTGGTCCCAACAGATCCCGGACACTTTGCAGGGTACAACGTATTATTACTGGCACGCGTGAATACATTAATTTAAAGCGTGCAATATTATCGCCTGAACGTAGTAGTAACATCGAAATTTACGATTAAAAGGCATACACAATGCTACACTGCATAATACAAATTAAATTTCACATCGGTTTTTCAAAAAAGAAAAAAAGAAAAATAATAACAATAGACTAGTAGGGCTGAGAGCATAAAAGATCATGAAGTATTTTGTCGCTGAATGGGATATAAAACGATTAAGTCGCTATTTTTAAAATGCGAGGTTTAGCAGTTACTGTGAAACTGAGCATTGTGATAGTGCGTTTATGAATACGATAACGCACCTTCAGGTTCCTTAAGTGACGACAGCCAATGGTCGATCATTTTATGACGTAAATGGTGCGGGGAGGCGAGTAGTGTGCTATGGTCGGTACCATCGTATGTAAGTTGTTACAAGGGTGGAGGGGTGATTAAGTTTAACTTCAGCGTTATAGAAACTTAACTGAACATCCCTTCGTACTTTCGCGTGCTGTGCTGTAGATGTTGTGGTCTATTTTAGTTTATTATTCTAGAATTT